TACCCTACCCATTCCTTCACACCAACGTCCTCTTCCCCCCTCCTTCCTTGCCCTCTCTGTCCTGATCTCCCAACTTGCTTCCCAGCAGGAAAGTCGCTCACACGGGAGTGGCAGTGGCGGGGGACATGAACAGCACAAGCATCAGCTGTCCTCCACCCAACCCACCCACAGCTTAGTACCCGCCTTACCTCTCTCCTCTCAACCCTCGCACTTGTGCTGCTTTTCATGCCGTGCTTGCACCATACATCAAACGTCCTCTTTCCCCTCCTTCCTTTCCATGCCGTGCTTGCACCATACATCAAACGTCCTCTTTCCCCTCCTTCCTTTCCATGCCGTGCTTGCACCATACATCAAACGTCCTCTTTCCCCTCCTTCCTTTCCATGCCGTGCTTGCACCATACATCAAACGTCCTCTTTCCCCTCCTTCCTTTCCATGCCGTGCTTGCACCATACATCAAACGTCCTCTTTCCCCTCCTTCCTTTCCATGCCGTGCTTGCACCATACATCAAACGTCCTCTTTCCCCTCCTTCCTTTCCATGCCGTGCTTGCACCATACATCAAACTCCCTTCCTTACTGCCCTCTGTTGCACTCAAGAGACCTCCCTCCCCCAAGGTAGCAGGTTCAAGACTTTGGTACAGCCTCAGGTATTTGGTTCTTGTTTGGTTCAGCTGGTACGAGGTCTCTTGGGTGTGCCACTGCAGCAGTCCATTCATGCACGCATCATCCTTGCATTTCCTTTTCCACTCTTCAATCTCACTTTACTCACTTGATCTGGTTTCTTTCCTCTTGTTTTTTGTCCTGATCCGCCCCCTCTTGTCCCAGCAGGTCACTAACATGGGAGGTGCAGTGGCGGGGGACATGGAGTGCACAGGCAGCAGCTGCTCTCCACCCAACCCACCCACAGTTAAGTCCCTGCCCTGCTATTCCTCCGCCAACCCTCTCGTGTGTTCTTCACTTTCCAAGTTGATCCTTGCTGCATCTCCCACCTCTTGTCTCCTTTAACTCAAGCCTCTGGTTGAGCCAAAGCTTCAAGCCACAGCCTCGTTTTCTTTGGTAAACCCACTCTGGTACAGCCGGTATACTCTCAGGTTAAGCCTTCCTTAGTAAATACCTCCCTTGGGTCTGTGGCTTGTAGCTGAGGCTGCACCAGTGGCCTCCTCCGCTCTGTTTCTCCTGATGATGCATCCACTCCCCTCATTCAACCTCTCGCCTCTCCACCAGTCACTCATTACTTTTCACTTTGCCATTGCAGGTGGAGGGGAGGGGCGTGGGGTCAACGCCGCCACTCCCGCACGCCCCTCCCCTGGTGGCCTTGCAGGTACCCATGGGGATGGCAAGGAGGCAGCAGTGCAGCGGACTGAAGTTGGTGCTGCCAGGGAGAGTATGGGGGTGGGCTTGGCCCTTCAAGGTACGTTATCTCACGCCTTGGCCTCGCCTCTCCCCCCCTCGAGTTCATTTGCTGCAGCAGCTCTCACTTCAATTCCGTCTTCTCGTTTTTGTCCACTCAAGTTTTTTTCTGTTCACTTGAGTGTTCCTGTTCATGCCAACTCACCAATTCCTCCTGTCCCTCCTTTCTTGTCCCTTCCCCCCCATTTCTGCCCGCTACCAGGTCACTTGGCATCAAGAGAAGATTGCAGCAGATGAAGCAGAGTAGCAGACCGGCAGCAGCAGTTGCAGCAGCAGAAGCGGCGGTGGCAGCAGCCGTAGCAGCAGTGGGGGCTGGGGGCTAGCGGGCTAGGTTAGGTTAGTGTGGGTGAGGTGTGGTAACAGGTGAGGTATGGTAACAGGTGAGGTATGGTATCAGGTGAGGTATGGTAACAGGTGAGGTATGGTATCAGGTGAGGTTTGGTAACAGGTGAGGTATGGTAATTTCATTCCTCCCCTCTCTTTCTTCCCGCCTTCTCTCCTTTGCAGCCTGAGGGTGGGAGCACTGGAGCGAGGGCAGGAGAGTGGAGTTCACCCTCTCACTCACTCTCCTCCTCCTCTCTCCTTTTCCCCTTCCCTCCCACCAGCACCCTTCCTGGACCACAGAGGAGTCCCCCTCTCCATTAATCCCCCCCCCATCCCCCTTCCCCACTTCCCATCCCTCTTCCCCACTTCCCAGCAGCCTCAACCAACATGGCGCTCTGCTGAGGTAGGTACAGGTAAGGAGGCATGCATGGGGGTGAAGTGTGGTGTGGTGGAGGGTGGGTGGGTGGGTGGGTGGAGAGCATGGGAGCAAGTGGGCAGCTCACTGCCTTAGGGGCAGCAACCTCTGGGGTTGTGCCTTGTGGGTCGACGTGGGGTGGGTGGAATCTGCGCGGCACGGCACTCGGTGCTCAAGTAACCGAACTGGTGTTCAAGGCCTAATGGACACCGTTAGAGCCGACCGGCCGGCGGCTCTGGTTCGCGTCAGCTCTGGCTACGTCAGGGGTGGGATTTGAGTCTTGGGCTGGAAGCAATTTTCCACTACCTCACTTCGCCCCATGAGACACAGCTTCTGGGGTTGCTGTTTCCTAAGAAAGTGGGCTGTCTGCTGCTCCTACTGCTGGCAGGTTAAGGTGAGGATGGGCTGAGTGGATGGGTGAGAGTGAAGGGGGCTGAACCCTCTTGGGTGGGTGAGTGATGGGGAGGGGGGCTGAACCCCCTTGGGTGGGTGAGTGATGGGGAGGGGGGCTGAACCCCCTTGGGTGGGTGAGTGATGGGGAGGGGGGCTGAACCCCCTTGGGTGGGTGAGTGATGGGGAGGGGGTCCTGAACCCCCTTGGGTGGGTGAGTGATGGGGAGGGGGGCTGAACCCCCTTGGGTGGGTGAGTGATGGGGAGGGGGGCTGAACCCCCTTGGGTGGGTGAGTGATGGGGAGGGGGGCTGAACCCCCTTGAGTGGATGAGTTGTGGTGGGTGGTGTGTGTGAAGTGGGGTTGGGCAGCGAAGGTTGGGAGTGGTGGTGATGGTGGGATATGACTGTGTGCATGTTTCGGTGTGCATGTTACACTGTGCATGTTAAAATGTGCATGTTACCGTGTGCATGCTACTGTGTGGTATGTTACTGATCGTTCGAAACACTGTGCATGTTGCTGTGTTATATGTGCCTATTTATTACTGTTTGCATGCAGGTTACTGTGTGGTATGTTATAGTGTCCATGTTACACTGTGCATGTCAAAATGTGCATGCTACTGTGTGGTATGTGATTGTGTGGGGTGTTACATTGTGCATGTTGTTTTGTGCATGTTACTGGTTGTGTTTTACAATGTTGCATTCTACATGCTGTGCATTTGACAGTGTGCATGTTACTGTGTGCATGTTACTGTGCATTTCACAGTGTGGCATGCTGTATTGGGGCATGTACCGTGGGGCATTTTACAGTGTGGTATGGTACAGTGACATAAGGGAGAGTATGTTACAGTATGGTATGTCATAGTCTCGTATGTTACAGAATGGTATGTTACTGTGTGGTATCTAACAGTATGGTATGTTACCGTGTTGCATGTGATAATGCGACAAGGGATGCGTTGGTGTGACGAGGAATGCATTGGTGTCATATAATCTCGCATAGGGGTGAGCAAAGGGCGTTCGCGTTCGCCCTTGCACGAACATGGCCGCTCGGCGAACCGAACACTGTTCGGCTCGCCGAACGACTTCCCCAAAAAAGGGTGTTCGCCGTTCGCCTGTGAAGGCATGTTCGGGCGAACCTCGAACACGTTCGTGTTCGACACGGGGCGTTCTGCAGCAGCGCCACGAACACGAACGTGTTCGGCCGAACATTGAACACGTTCGGGCGAACAATTTAAGCTAAAAAACAAAACCTGTTCGGTTCGCCTCGAACACGTTCGAGGCGAACCGAACAGGTGTTCGTTTCTTTGCTCACCCCAAATCTCGCATGCCTGTGTAGGGCATGTGGTAGCGTGGTATGGCATTGTGTGGACCATGGTGTGGCATGTCATCCTGTGGTGTGCATGTGTGTCGTTTGTCATGGGCATGCCATGGTGCATTATCTCATCAGTGTGGTATGTGTGATCATGTGGTGGGTCATGATGTGGCATCCCGGGACATGGTGTGGGATGTGATGGTGTGGTATGACATGGTGTGGGATGACATCGTGTGGCATGCCATTGTTTGGAGTGCCTGTGATTTGGTATGGTATGGTGTGGCATGGCATCATGTCTTCTGCAGGCTGGTAACAGCTGGAGGCAAGTGGAGATGGTGGAATGGAAGGAAGACTGTGTGAGGAGGGAACATAAGGATAGAGGGCTGGACGAGAGGTGCATGGCGTGTGGGTACCGTATTTTGGTCAAACCTAGATCTTAGTGAAGCCGTGTGGAACGTATAGTTTGCAAACGATACCCTTCACAACCTTACTGCGGTATTAGATTCTTACGCAATCTTTCTCATGTGTATGGGTATTGAAAGGATACATCAGAAACTGGTGAATAGTAGTGCTTATTATTATCATCAATTGAACCATCATGTTTTTTCTTCTATGCACTTCTGCAAATGGGGACGTGTAGCTCAATCGCATCACACAGAATGGGACCACCTTGTCGAGCTCTGGCTCTTCGATACTTCAATTTGGTTGGTTGTCCAGCAAGGAAGTGACTCAGCACTATATGACTCTCTGGCACATACTTCCAGCTCAGCCATTGGCTTACGCGTGGGGCAAAACGCCACTGATTCCTCAATTACAGGAAGATCCTGAGTTCCCCGACATAAGATGGTGAGGGGGGAAGGAAGACCCATTTCTAGGGAGCATCCAGCTGCTGTGAGATTCTTGCCTTGTCGGGTTGGTTGGTTGGTTGAATCTACCTTTCTCGGTGCAAAACGGACCAGCCAAACTCGAGTGCACAACAACTTCGCCAACAGAATTCTTGAGTTGGTTGGGACTGGAGTCATAAATACCTTCAGCAGCTCTTCTGAAGGCCAGATGAGCTACTTAGTAAGGACGGTCATTAGAAGGCTTGCTACGTCTCCACGACCTCAGCATCAGCAAGTGCGCATCTTGTTTTCTCGAGCATATTCCGGCATGGCGTTCCGCGAAGAGAAGGATACGTTTGGACCGATTCAGGTCCCGGCCGACAAGTGAGAATCCGGATTTTCGTCATGAGAGCGGATTCGTGTTGAAATTTTAGCATTGCTGACATCGCAAATGGCATGCTTTGCAGATACTGGGGAGCGCAGACTCAGCGATCCCTTCAGAACTTTGAGATTGGAGGAGAGAGGGAGAGGATGCCAGATCAGATTGTGAAAGCATTCGGAATTCTCAAGAAAGCCTGCGCACAGGTACGAGCCCCGTCCTTCTCTCGTTTAGGTAGTGAAGGCTGAGTAAATGACGAACCTCATGGAGTTTGCGTCCGTTCATGCAGGTCAATCTCGGTTACGGCTTGGATCCGAAGATTGGGAATGCGATCATTCAGGCCTCGCAGGAGGTCGCAGACGGGAAGCTTATGGACCAGTTCCCTCTTGTCATCTGGCAGACTGGTAGCGGAACTCAGTCTAACATGAACGCCAATGAGGTACTGTTGCTCTCTTATCTAGTCCCCTTGATTTTTGGTACAGTCCCAGCGCTTTTGACATAAAGACGCAACATGCTCGTGTTCAGGTCATTGCCAACCGTGCTGCGGAGATTTTGGGATCCAAGCTTGGTGACAAGGGCATTGTTCATCCCAATGACCACGTGAACATGAGCCAGTCCTCGAATGATACCTTCCCTACCGTAAGATCACAAGACGGTTTGTCACTTTTTACTCTGTCTTCTTGACATTGTCACTCCAACCCGAGATTACACATTGTCACTCCAACGTTGATCCTGATGCAGGTGATGCACATCGCTGCTGTTGTGGAGGCGCACTCGAATTTGATTCCGCACCTTCGGTCCCTCTACGATTCCGTTGCTGAGAAGGTAAGACTGTTTGTTGCTCCACCGTTAACAATGTTATTATGGTTTTAACTACCCTGCACAACTGAGGGTGGACTGCCGTGCTGTGGTGTAGGCCGAGGAATTCAAGGACATTGTCAAGATTGGCCGTACTCACACTCAGGACGCAACGCCGCTGACCCTCGGTCAAGAATTCAGTGGCTATGCCACGCAGGTACGGAATGTTTGCTTCCTTCTTAGATGCATTAGACAGCATGTGACAGCCTGTGGTAACCTCAATAGTGTGTATCGGCTTTATGCAGATCAAGTATGGCATTCGGCGTATCGAGGACACTCTCCCGCGCCTGTACCAGGTTGGTCTGCTTGTGGCATGCATTTGACTTAATTTTTTTACCAAAAGTGTTTATAAACCACGTGGCGTTCGCACTTGCAGCTCGCACAAGGAGGAACGGCTGTCGGCACTGGTCTCAATACTAAGTTGGGGTGAGCCATTTTGGAAATTGCCACGTGTCCACCTGCCCGTGTATTCTTCTGTCTGTGGATGTCCTTATTCTTGCAAAGCCCCCAACACATCATTGTCGCCAACCTTGCAGGTTTGACGTGAAGGTTGCCGCGGCTGTTGCTGAGGACACGAAGCTGCCATTCGTTACTGCTGAGAACAAGTTTGAAGCGCTGGTTAGTATTCTTTTTATGTGGTACCTAATTAGAACAGGCTTTGCATTGAGAAATGTGTGTGCAGAAGTACGCTTGGAGTAATTATTCTTTACGATCTTATTGCAGGCCGCTCATGATGCGCTCGTGGAGGCAAGCGGGGCGCTTAACACAGTGGCCGTGTCGCTCATGAAGATTGCTAATGACATTCGCTTCCTTGGCAGGTCAGTTGCAGAAACCTGTAGTTCAGGCTAGGTTTTCACACGACAAGGGCTAACTTCAAAGGATGCAGAAAAACGCCGACGTAAATAGCAAGAAGCATGCAAAACTGAAACCATGCAGAATTGGAACCACGCAGCAGCTTGATTTCGTCTTTCACTACTGAAATGACTGATGTGCTGGATCTGTGTACGGCTCCACGTGTGTAGTGGCCCTCGGTGTGGTCTGGGCGAGCTACTTTTGCCTGAGAATGAACCAGGCAGCAGCATCATGCCTGGCAAGGTCAACCCAACACAGTGTGAGGCGCTCACAATGGTCTGCGCTCAGGTGGGTGACCATCTCCTCAAATTATCATGGTTTTATTGAAGTTTATGGTGTGCTCACTGGAAATGATGCATGCTTCACGGCAGGTGATGGGTAATCATGTTGCTATTTCGATTGGAGGTTCGAATGGCCACTTTGAGCTCAACGTCTTCAAGCCACTTATGGCTGCAAATCTGCTTCAGGTCAGTACCTTCCACTAGTTTTTGCGATTTGTTTATTGATACATGTTTTTTTCAAAGATTTTAAGTGTTTATTGATGACCTTGCATCAATTGGTACTTGTTTGTGTGTATCCAGTCAATGCGCCTCCTGGGTGATGCTGCTCTCTCCTTCAAGAAGAACTGTGTTGTTGGCATTGTGGCAAACAGAGCTCGTATCTCTGACATCATGAAGCAGGTGTGTAACTGTCTGACAGTCTTGCATCACGCTTTCTCTAATGCATTTATCCTTGAGTGCTAACTTGTCCATGTTTGTGCTGTGCTGATCCGCCTTCGTCGTTCAGTCGCTCATGCTTGTTACGGCACTGAACCCTGTAAGTTCCTGCATCAGTCGTCCCATCGGAACTTAGATCCTGTAGGGTTCCACGTCTTACTAACAAAGTGTCTTGCGTTTCTGCAGCACATTGGATATGACAAGGCAGCTGCTGTTGCCAAGAAGGCTCATAAGGAAGGAACAACTCTTAAGGTATTATGCAGTTACTTAAGCTGCAATAATACGGTAAGCGTTACAAGCTCATGGTCAATGCTGATGTTATTTTAATTGCTTTGCAGGAAGCTGCCATTGCATTGGGAGTTATTTCTTCTGAGAAGTTTGATGAAGTGGTGGTTCCGGAGAAGATGCTTGGTCCATCATAGGTTCCGAGTAGAACAGTCATGTCTGTTGAAAACATGTGCCGGGGGGCCCCAACCACGGGTTTTCGGGAGCAACAGACCCGTGGGCCTTGAGTATAGCAGCCCATTGTTGAATGGTTCACACCATGCACACCATGCACACACCATGCACCAACACACTGAGCACCATGCGGCAGAGCTTCATTAACATTGATATGAACGAGATGATTGATGTCATGTATACACCTGCTTTGCGCTTACTTTCCATACAAATAATGCATACACTGTAACATTAACGGAAATTCACACGGGAAATAGAGTATATTTAGCAAACAATCCATGAAATCCAGCCAGCACCTTGAGGGATTACTCTCCAGCCCAGTAATCATGAGTCCAATTATTCTTTCAATATCCAAATCCACGTGGGAGTTTGCACAAGAATTGGTGATAAGGTCAGAACTAGTAGCATTTAGGTTGACATTATACTATGTTTTGCACCTGAAAAGTAGATGCGCTGTACAAGGCCTCCAGACACTGGATTACAGTTGACAGCTTTTCAGGCAAAGCGAACCCCACATTCTAGGTTTTAATTTTGCTTGCCTTGCCTATCTTCTCGTTCGTAGCAGATCCATCCGAGGCGCTGGCACAAGCCGTTTCTTCCGCCTCCACGATTCTTTTTCTTGCCAATTCTGGTAAAGGCTTCTATCGAAGGCGCTTTTCCGGGCAACTTAAACGACATGGCGTCGGAAGAAGACCAGCCAGTGAAGATGGACGTGCACGGCGAAGGAGCAGAGGAAGCTGCAGCCGCGGACACCGGAGCCGCTGCGCATGACGATCCTATGGCCCAGGACGGGGCTGAAGAGAACGGATCTGCTGAAGCGGCCGCAGCTGCAGCCGCTGCGGCTGCCGCTGCAGCGGCCGTGGCGGAAGCAGCAGCGGAGGAAGAAGCGGCAGCGGAAGAGGCGGCTGCTGCCGCGGCTGCTCAGGCTGGTGCTGGTGACGATGCCACTGCAGCCGCGCCTGCTGCTGAGGGTGAAGCTGCTCCTGCCGTTGATGGTGCATCCGACGCTCCTGCTGCCGACGCTGGAGTAACCCCTGCTGCCGATGCTGCTGCTCCTGCCGCCGAGACTGCTGCGCCTGCTGCTGATGGTGCCGCGACCGCAGCCGCTGAGGCTGCTGCTGCTCCTGCAGCCCCTGAAGGTACTTCGACTTTTATCCTGTCAGCCGTAGCTTCCTCGAATGCATTCGCTTCTTCGCTTCTTATCACCTATTTTCTACAAATGTCCTTTTTTTTCTTAGCAGATCTTTGGTGATTTAAAATGATTGCGTGCTTTTGTCTGGACTAATCCGGCATCTGTGCCTGTCCATCGTGCTGCATCTGTCCGTTCCGCATCGCAGTTCCTGCAGCGCCGCCAGCGCCGACGGAGGAGGAGCGGCTATGGGGTTTGGTGCGCGCCAACTCGGGGGACTTCGAGTCGTGGGTCGCGCTCATTCAGGAAAGCGAGAAGTCGGTACGTCTTTCGTACCACAAACCCTGAACCGGAGCCTTGTTCTTCTATTCCGCTCCCCCCATCCCACCTTCCATTTTAAATATGTTTTGACTGACATTTATCCGTTCAAACTAACGTCGTATGCTTAGCGGATCTTGAACAGATGCCCAACTAATTTCACGCTTCAACATACCTCCTCTTCGCCAATTCCAGGACAAGCTCGAGAACCTGCGCGCAGTGTACGACACGTTTCTGGCGGAGTTCCCGCTGTGCTTCGGGTACTGGAAGAAGTACGCGGACCACGAGCAGCGCCACGGCAACAAGGAGCGCGTGCTGGAGGTGTTTGAGCGCGCCGTCGCCGCCGTGCCGTACAGCGTCGACATCTGGCTGCACTACGTCAACCACCTCACCGCCACTGTTGAGGACCCCGAGGAGATCCGCAGGTGCACCTCCGAATCCATCTCGACCGCACTATATTTCCTTTTTCGCCGTGGCAGCTTTTCTGAGCGTCATGTTCGGTGTGCTTTCCGTCGAAGGCTCGTACGCGCCGCTTCCGTCATTCCGCGCCACAGCAGAACGCAGTCGGGCTTTTTATAAGCATAGATCGGGGTCTGTGGTTCTTCCTTCTTTTAACTATAACCCCCCTCACTCCCTTGGTTCATGTGACCCCATTATTAAGGCTCGCAGCCGAGACCGTCAGGCTGTGAGTATAACGATTTCCGCACGTTTTGTTTTTATTCCCTACCATCCCTTTAGCTTTTCCCCGTCTTTAGTGGTTCGTTCGTTGGTCGCCGCAGCTGCTTCTGCTGCCGCTAACTTCCTCCTGTGTTTAATGCAGATGCGCGCGAGGAGAAACTCCTTTCCTTTCCCCAGTTTTCCCATTGTCCCTCTCCCCAACCCTCTCCCTCCACCTTAGCGCGATCCTCGCTGCCTTTACAAGTCGCTCCGCCGTTCTGTCCTGTTTATTTTTGCGGAATTTATGCTGTATAGCTTCCGTTGCGTAGGGTTTTTTTTTTGTTCCCTCGGTTGGCTAAGCTTGATTCGTTTATGGTAATCGACGTCGCGCTGTTTGGTATCCGCTCACGCCAACTTCCCGAGCGTTTTAACGAATCCGCGTCAAAGATCGGCCTACGCCTAACCACCTAGCGGTCTTTACGGGCAGCCGGGCAGGCAAACGAGAAAGGAATCCGATTGGCCGCGCTGGCGCAGGAAAGAGGTAAAAGAAACCCTCGGCGGACTGTCCGATTCAGGCAGTTGACGTGACGTGGGTCCGATTCAGTCTGGCTAATCCGCTTTCGTGCTCTTTACAAGCAGCCTCGTTGCTCGGTTCGGGCTGTGAGTGCCAAGTTTCGCCTGGGGGTCCGGTTTTCTACACAGCTCTCAACTTTCCTCTCTCCCTTTTTGTCCCTCAACTCAACACACAAACCAAACTTTTTTTCTGCCCCCCGTTTCCCTATCACCGCTGGATAGTACGTCCCTTTCCCTCGCCTGACAGTCTCTCTGTTTTCATGCGCATGTGTGTTGTGCGGTGCTGGTGTGCGGGTGAATGCTGGGGGGAGGGCTGGGGAAGGCTGCGTGGTGAGCTGCGGGATGATCTGCGGGTTGGGGTTGGGGAAGGGGCGGGGGGGATGTGCGCGGGGAATGTGCGCGCGTGTGTGCGCTTGTGTGTGGTGTGCGTGCGCAGGCTGTTTGAGCGCGCGCTGGTGTACGTGGGGACGGACTACCTGTCGCACACGGTGTGGCAGAAGTACCTGGACTTTGAGGGGGGGCGCTCCGAGTGGAGCAAGGTCGCCGCCATCTACACGCGCATGCTGCAGGTGCCGCTGCAGCAGCTCGACCACTACTACCACGCGTGAGTGCTGTGAGGGGGGTGCTTGGGGGCCTGGGGAAGGGTGAGGAGCGAGGGTACGGCTTGCACTGGGTGGCACAGTGGTGGGGCGGCGTGGCGGTGTCGTTGGATCGTGGGTTGCTGCCATGCCACTCACACGCGCATGCTGCAGGTGCCGCTGCAGCAGCTCGACCACTACTACCACGCGTGAGTGGGGGGGTTCGCTTAGGGGTCTGGGGAAGGGTGTGGAGCGAGGGCTCGGCTTGCACCGGGTAGCACGGTTCTGGGTGGTTCTGGGTGGTTCCGGGTGGTTCCGGGTGGCTCTGGGTTGCTAGCATCTATATCCTCGCCTCTCCCTTGCGACCTGCATCCCCTCTCCCTCAGCTTCCCGTCACTTCGCGACGACCCACACGCTGGACGAGATCCGCACGCCTGAGGAGTCCTCACACCCATCCGGTTCCCTCTCCCCCCCCTCCCGCCCCTCACACCCTTGTCTCCGCGACCCTCGTCCCCCTGCCCCCCCTTGTCTCCTCAGTTTCCGCCACTTCGCGACGACCCACACGCTGGACGAGATCCGCACGCCCGAGGAGTCCGCAGCAGCCGCTGCCGAAGTGGCGGCTGCGGCTGCTGCCGCCCTCAAGGTGCAGACGGCCGTCCCCGCACAGCCAGCAGGGGAGGACGGCACTGCTGCGCCAGGCGCGGAGGAGGCCAAGGAGGGAGAGGGCGAGGCTAAGGCAGAAGAAGGCGACGCTGCTGCTGCCGCTGCTGGTGCTGCTGCTGGTGCTGGTGCTGGTGGTGCTGCGGGTGCTGATGCTGCTCCAGGAGCCGAGGCCCCCGCAGCCGATGCTGCTGCCCCTGCCGCCGCTGCTGCCGCCCCTGCTGCTGTCCCCACGCCGGCCCCGCCGCCCGCCTCCGCGCCTGCGCCAGTCCCAGTGGCAAAGACAGAGGAGCAGCAGCTAGCAGAGTATCTAGCCTTGAGGGACGTGATGTATCAGAGCAGCAAGCGGCGGGATGGGGAGATCCGGGAGTTTGAGGTGGTGATCAAACGCCCCTACTTCCATGTGAAGCCGCTTGATGAGGCACAGCTGAACAACTGGCACCGGTACTTGGACTTCACTGAGAAGGAGGGCAACATCGCACGGGTGAGTGGGGCGGATTGGCGAAGGGGAGTGCGGGCACAATGGCTGGGGGATTCGTTGCATTGGCAACGGGGACTGGTGCACTGCACAGTGACAGGGTGCATGGAGCACTCAGGGATGCGAGGCTTCTCTGGGTGAATATTGAATGGCTGGGAGGGAAGCTGGAAGTAGATGGCCGTACCTGCACTCGCCATTGTCCTCCCATTCAGTCTCCCTGTGCTCTTGCCTCTCTGTCGCTCCCTGCTCTTCCCTAACCGCTGTGTGGTGCCGTCTGCCAACTACCCTCAGATGCTCCCCTGTCAACTTAAAGATTGGCTGCTGAGTTCCCCTGAAAGTTCTCTTTCCCATGGGCCGTCCTCCCTCCCTCCATTTCAATCAGACCATCAACATCTACGAGCGCTGTGTGGTGCCGTGCGCCAACTACCCCGAGTACTGGGTGCGCTATGTGGAGTGCATGGATGCTTATAACGAGGATGAGCGGGCCAAGGACGCGCTGCTCAGAGCCACTGCCGTGTTCGTCAAGGTGAGACCCTTTGGCAGGAGGGAGTGAGGTGAGGTTGTGTGTGCGATGCTGAGTCTTCTGCCTTGTCTCATGATCGAGAAGGTAACAGTGTACTATTTCATTCAGTGTCCACCCCTGCCCCTCGGAGCTCAGAGACATATCCCAAGGGTATGTCTCTGACCCTCGGTGCTCTCTCACCTGTGTTACATTCTTGCCACTGCTGCATATCTCCTTCCCATCCGTTTCCTTGGCAGCGCCGCCCGGAGATCCACCTGTTTGCCGCCCGGTACAAGGAGCAGCATGGGGACGTGGAGGGTGCCACGTCAGCGCTGGACACGGCTGCATCGCTGGCAGCGGGCCTGCTGGAGCTGACGGTGCAGAAGGCCAACCTGGAGAGACGACAGGTGACGTGGCAAGATGCTGAGGTGGCGAGGTGGTGAGGTGGTGAGATGGTGGGGCGAGGTGGCGAGGTGATGACGAGATGATGGGGTAGCATGGTGAACTGAGGTGGACTGTGAGAGTAGTGAATGACTCAGTATTGGCTGAGGGTGGCAGCGGGGTTGGGCGTATGTGTAGGTCGTTGGGCTGGGGTGACGGCTGCAAGGCAGCCTGCTGATGCACGTCATGACATGGGGACTGAGGTGACTTTTGAGTCGACTCAAAAGTCGCCTGCTGATGCACGTCACGACATGGGGACTGTCGGTTATCATGCAAGAACGAGCCTGTCTTTGCACTGTGCCGAGTTGTGGAGTGGGATTGTGAGTTCACCCTCCCATTGACATGCATAAATTGTGTGTTTTGCCTCTTTTGCTCTGGCAGGCTGGTGTAGCAGCAGGGGCAGCAGTGCTGGAGGCAGCAGTGCAGGCGGAGAAGGAGAAAGAGGGATCCAAGATCCTGCCCTATCTGCACCTGCAGCACGCTCGCTACCTTCTCACTGTATGCCCACTGCCGCGGATTGTTATTAGCACATTCGTTGTAACTTGTAAGCACACTATTGTGCATAAAAGAAGCACAGTCACTGCACCCTTCCGTAGTGAGCCAGGCCCAGGACGTCTAGGGAGCAACATTCATGGGCTGGTGTTGCATTGTGCGTTGTGTGTGCTGCTGGGTGGGGCGGGGTACAGGTGGGTGGAGAGGAGGACAAGGCGCGTGAGGCATTCAAGGCAGCGATCGATGCTGCACCGGACAACAAGACCATCTGGCAGGTGCGCAGACATGAACTGCGTTCGGTGGTAGGTGCTTGACCTGCACGCATTTAGGCTGGCTGGTATCTGGCTGGGCGAGTCCTCCTGCACCGTTTCAGTGTAATCGCAGTTACCTGTGTTCCAAGATAGCTTCACCAGAAGCTCTATCATCGAATTGTGTCTTGTTACCACACCTGCCCCTCTCTGTCCCTCTCCCCCCCTCTGTCCCTCTCCCCCTCTCTGTCCCTCTCCCCCCCTCACATCCTGCCATGACCAGGCGGCCATATCCTTTGAGGCATCTCTGCCGGGTGCATCACCATCGGTGCGCATGGGGCGAGTGGAGGCTCTGGTGGCAGATGCTCTGGGTAGAACCAAGGCGGACAGCACGCCGCTGCTCTCTGCTGCTGATCGCGAGGACATCTCCACCATCGCCGTCGAGGTGAGAGGTGGTGCTCGTAATGGCTGGGTGTGGGAGGCAGAGGGGTGATTGGAAGCACTGGTGGCAGATGCGTTGGGTAGAGTGAGGCGGACAGCACACCGCTGCTCTCTGCTGCTGACAGGGAGGACATCTCCACCATCGCCGTGGAGGTGAGGGAAAATTTCCTTCAGGACTGACTGAGTCTGAGGACTTTTTGACCTTCCTCCCTATTCTTCCTGCATGTGTTTTCTTCTTCCGAGGTTTCAATCTTCGCATTCCTCCTCTCTTCAATCCCGCCATCATCCTCCCTCCCTACCCTCCTTCCCTTGCACGCCCATCCAGCTAGCGGATCTCTTTGGGGACACAGCAGCAGTGAAGCAAGCAGCAGCGCGTCACCGCTCCCTCTTCCCCTTCAAACGCCCCACCGCCGCCGCCACCACCGCCGCTGCCGACTCGCGCAAGCGCACCCACCCAGACGGCGCCTCCTACCCCGACCGAGCCGGAGGGTACAAGCACCACCGCGCCTCTGCGCCTTCCTCCAACTACTATGGCGCTGCGGGCGCTGGTGGTTACGGTGGTGCAGCGGGAGGGGGGTATGGGGGTTACGCAGGGCAGAGGCAGCAGGGCGCGTGGCAGCAACCGGCAGCAGCTGCTGCTGCAACGCCAGCGTCGCCTGCTGCTGCTGCGGTGGCGCCGGCTGCGGCTTCTTCGCCTGCCCAGCAGGGCCAATGGGGGGCGTATGGGCAACAGGTGAGGGGGTTAGTGGAGGGGTTGAGTGTGGGTGGGCGGGAAGGGAGGGGAGGGGAGTGGGAAGGGAGGGTCAGAAGGAGGGGACAGGATTGTCAGGGAGGGCGGTGAAATGGTATTGTTTGGAAATGGTATTGTTTGGAAATGGTATTGTTTGGAAATGGTTACATGCATGCCGAGCTGGTGCTGCTGTCTTGCATGCATGCCTAACTGCTCTTCATGTCTCCGCCTCACCCCGTTCATGACTACAGGCATATTCTGGCTATGCTGGCTACGGCGGTTACTCTGCTGCCCCTGCTGCAGCTGCTGCTGCTCCTGCTGCGCCCCAGGCTGACGCTTCTGGATATGGGGCGTATGGGCAGACATATGCACAGGTGGGTAGGCATGTGCACAGGAACGAGCGTATTGATATGTGGCACAGGTATGGAGCATAAGGGTGTGTGTGAGGCGCTAGTATGGGTCTTGTGTGAAGAGGGAAAGGGGGCATGGGTGCAAGCAAAACTGTCACTGATTTATTTATTTTTCTCGCTCATAAATGCATTCTGTGCTCCCTTCATTCCCTCCCATCCCATCCTGCTCCTCTCACAGCAGTATCCCCAGTCCGGCTACGCTGCTGCGCCGGCTGCTGCTGCCGCCCCTGCTGCTGGTGCCACGACAGGGTACTATCAGCAGGGTTACTATGCCCAGTGATTTTCGGTTCCTTTCAGAAACGAGTTGCACTGATGGATGGTGGTAGAACCTCGGCATTGTATTGTATCTGAAGTTGCCCTGGTTGAGTTGGAATGATTCGTTTGTGGAGGACGTTTAGGGAGCTCATAAATTGCTATATAGCGTGCTTCACGAACCAAGTGTAGTTAGCAACCAGCTGATTACCACGAAAGGTTGGCGGGAAGAATTGGAGTGAGTTTCGATGTTCCCGTCCGTCAGTTCTCACCGTCAGTCTCCGGCCGTCATTTTTGTCAGGCAGGCATCATCCATCCCTGCCTCCACCTTCCTCCCCACTCTTGGCTTTCATCTCACTTCGCATTCCTCTCTCGCATTTCTGTTGAGCTAACAGTTTCATCCTGCAACCGACCCGCAAGGCCCGCGTGCCTCAAGTGACTTGTTACTCCTCCGTGTGTAACGGCCGTGGCATATTTGCCGGTGCTGAAGTGCAGCGAACGACGGTAGCATGACGGGCGACGAGCGAGCAGCGCTGTCGACGTAGAGCTAGCAGAACGGTTCTGAGGGAATTATCGGCGCGCGGTGCTGCGAGCCCGTGAAGTTAGCAGTGCTCGAGTCTGTCATATGCTCGCCATTAGGTGCAGTTATTCCCATAGTAGTTTACGTCCCTGCACCAACCGACACGTGGCGCGTCGAGAGTCCCGTAGTTCTAGCGGCAACACACCGTAATCCGAGAGTCTCGTGTTTTCACATCTTTAATTTTGAAGTCAGCTCAGTAATTTAAACTACTTGCTGCGATACGGTATTCCCATAGTTTTCCGCTGTGTTCGTGCGTGTTCGCCCAGCATGGTTACCGCCTCCGCTACCGTTACCCGAGCAGCCCTTCAGAACGCTGAGCGCGTTCTTCGCCAATGGCATTCCGACACGTCATCATACGGCGGCGGAAGCAGCGCGAGCAGTCGACCCTCCTCCCGCAGCAGCACGCGCTCCGCGTCCTCCCAGACTCCCAGTGACACGTCAGCAGCAAGCCTCCGCCTATGGGAAGGCTCGAGCGTCCACGTGGACGCCTACCTGCAAGCCCTAGATTCCATCCAATCCGTAATCGACACGTGTGAGTCGGGCCGATACGGCGGAAACAGCAGCGAAGCTGCCGAGATGCTTCACCGAGCTAAGTGGTTCGCGGCCGCGGCGCGGCCGTGGTTAGAGCAGGGCTTTTGGTACGTTCTAAAACAGCATTCTAAGCCGCTAGAACCGGAGGCCGTTTACCAAGCCGCGTCGAAGAGCCGAACGGGCGGCAGCAGCGGCGGCAGCTTCGGCAGCGGGAGGGGGTCCAAGGGAGGCTCGGACGGCGGACCGTACCTGATGCAGCCCCATGCTGCGGTGCAGGTTCGGGAGGTGGCTCGGCGGATGGTGCAGGCTGGTTTGGGGCAGACGTGTCTGGAGACTTACCGCGCAGTGCGGCGGCAGGTGAGAGGCAGTGAAGGCGAGAAGAGGAGGGGTAAGGGGCGAGAAGGGAGAAGGGAGAAGAGAGGCGAAGAGAGGCGAAGAGAGGCGAAGAGAGGCGAAGAGAGGCGAAGAGAGGCGAAGAGAGGCAGTGAGGCCCCAGTTAAGGGGCGAGAAGGTAGTGGAAGCCCGGGGGGGGGGAATTTAGAGGGCGAGAAGGGAGGGAGTGAGGCGCAGCAGGGAGGGCGCACGTAATCGGTGGGAGGCGGTGGAGGGCGGCGGGAGGCGGTGGGAAGTGGTGGGAGGCCCTGGAGAGTCGTGTTCGCGAGACTTAGGTCCTCTTTCGCTGGTTGTGTCGTGCCCTATCCCCCCTCCCCACAGGCGCTGGACCGAACTCTCGAGCAGCTGGCAGCGGGGCAGTTCCGCCCAGAGGACATGGGGGGCGTGCGGTGGGAGGCGCTGGAAGAGCGCGTGAAGGCGTGGATGCAGTTCGCCCGGCTGGCCGTGCGTGTGGTGCTGCTGGCTGAAAGACGGCTGTGCGATTCCGTGTTCCAAGGGCAGGGGAACGTGAGTGCGGGAAACGGGTTACGGGGGTGAGGGGGAAGGGGAAGGGGGGCGTGGTGCTGCTGCTGCCTGAACGAAGGCTGTGCGATTCCGTGTTCCAAGAGCAGGGGAACGTGAGTGCGGGAATGGGAGGGTGGGATGGGTGGATTTTCTGTGAGTGAGAAGGGAGGAGCGTCCCTCTGCTTCCTTGACACGAACGTCTCATACCAAATCCTGCTTTTCAATCTGTTCTGCCTCCGAGTCCCAAACAGCATCCCCTGAACCCCTGACCCCTGCCCCTTGCCTCTTGCCCGCCTGCCTTCCCCTCAGCTAGCGGAAATGTGTTTCCACGAGGTGGCATCATCAGCAGTGCGATTCATATTCGCCTTTGCTCTCGGCAAGCCTTTGGCTCCTTAACCCCCCTCCTTTACACTCCCCACCCCCTCCCCCCCACATCAGCTAGCGGAGATGTTTTTTCACGAGGTGGCGGCATCAGCGGTGCGATTCATATTTGCCTTTGCAGAGGCCGCTCTGCCGTGACACGTCCCCTCTTGCCCCCTGTCCCTCCTCCCTCGCAGCTAGCGGAGATGTGTTTCCACGAGGTGGCGGCATCAGCGGTGCGATTCATATTCGTCTTTGCCGAGGCCTTTGCTCTCGACAAGCGCCTGGCGGAGCGCCTCTTCTCCATGCTGGACCTCTATGAGATCATGGCCGGCCTGAGGCCTGATTTCAATGCGGCATGCAAAGGTGTGGTGGGGTTGTGTGCGGTGGGGTGCGGTGGGATGGGTTGGTGTCTGTGGTGTGGTGGGCTGGTGGAGCGCCTCTTCTCCATGCTGGACCTCTATGAGGTCATGGCCGGCCTGAGGCCTGACTTTCATGCAGCATGCAAAGGTGCGGTACGGTGGGGTAGGGTGGAGTACGATGGTGTGCGATGAAGTGCGGTGGAGTGCGGTGGGGTGGGATAAGTTCGTTTCCCTCAGCCTCTCGACAAGCGCCTGGCGGAGCGGCTCTTCTCCATGCTGGACCTCAATGAGATCATGCCGGGCCTGAGGCCTGACTTTCATGGTGCTTGTAAATGTGGGGTGGGATGAAGTGCAGTAGAGAAATGTGTGAGTGGGTGGGTGGGACGGTGGGCTGGTGAGTAGGTTTGTTTCCCGCTTTGCTTCCCGGTTTCCCAGTTTTCCGGTTTTCCGGTTTCCCGGTTTCCCGGTTTCCCGGTATCCCGGTTTCCCGGTTTCCCGGTTTCCCGGTTTCCCGGTTTCCCGGTTTCCCGGTTTCCCGGTATCCCGGTTTCCCGGTATCCCGGTATCCCGGTATCCCGGTTTCCCGGTTTCCCGGTTTCCCGGTTTCCCAGTTTCCCGGTTTCCCGGTTTCCCGGTATCCCCGTTTCCCGGTTTCCCGGTATCCAGGTTTCCCGGTTTCCCGGTTTCCCGGTTTCCTGGTTTCCCGGTATCCCGGTTTCCCGGTTTCCCGGTTTCCCGGTTTCACGGTATCCTGGTATCCCCGTTTCCCGGTTTCCCGGTATCCAGGTTTCCCGGTTTCCCGGTTTCCCGGTTTCCCGGTATCCCCGTTTCCCGGTTTCCCGGTATCCCGGTTTCCCGGTTTCCCGGTTTCCTGGTTTCCCGGTATCCCGGTTTCCCGGTTTCCCGGTTTCCCGGTATCCCGGTTTCCCGGTTTCCCGGTTTCCCGGTTTCCCGGTTTCCCGGTATCCCGGTATCCCGGTATCCCGGTTTCCCGGTTTCCCGGTTTCCCGGTTTCCCGGTTTCCCGGTTTCCCGGTTTCCGGGTTTCCCGGTATCCCGGTTTCCCGGTTTCCCGGTTTCCCGGTTTCCCGGTTTCCCGGTTTCCCGGTTTCCCGGTATCCCGGTTTCCCGGTTTCCCGGTTTCCCGGTTTCCCGGTATCCCCGTTTCCCGGTTTCCCGGTTTCCCGGTTTCCCGGTTTCCCGGTTTCCCGGTATCCCGGTTTCCCGGTTTCCCGGTATCCCGGTTTCCCGGTTTCCCGGTTTCCCGGTTTCACGGTATCCTGGTATCCCCGTTTCCCGGTTTCCCGGTTTCCCGGTTTCCCGGTATCCCGGTATCCCGGTATCCCGGTTTCCCGGTTTCCCGGTTTCCGGTTTCCGGTATCCCGGTATCCCGGTATCCCGGTATCCCGGTATCCCGGTTTCCCGGTTTCCCGGTTTCCCGGTTTCCCGGTTTCCCGGTTTCCCGGTTTCCCGGTTCCCGGTTTCCCGGTATCCCGGTTTCCCGGTTTCCCGGTTTCCCGGTTTCCGGTTTCCCGGTTTCCCGGTTTCCCGGTTCCCGGTATCCCGGTTTCCCGGTTTCCCGGTTTCCCGGTTTCCCGGTTTCCGGTTTCCCGGTTTCCCGGTATCCCGGTATCCCGGTATCCCGGTATCCCGGTTTCCCGGTTTCCCGGTTCCCGGTTCCCGGTTTCCCGATATCCCGGTATCCCGGTTTCCCGGTTTCCCGGTTTCCCGGTTTCCCGGTTTCCCGGTATCCCCGTTTCCCGGTTTCCCGGTATCCCGGTTTCCCGGTTTCCCGGTTTCCCGGTTTCCCGGTTCCCGGTTTCCCGGTTTCCCGGTATCCCGGTATCCCGGTTTCCCGGTTTCCCGGTTTCCCGGTTTCCGGTATCCCGGTTTCCCGGTTTCCCGGTTTCCCGGTTCCCCGGTTTCCCGGTTTCCCGGTATCCCGGTATCCCGGTTTCCCGGTTTCCCGGTATCCCGGTTTCCCGGTATCCCGGTTTCCCGGTTTCCCGGTTTCCCGGTTTCCGGTTTCCTGGTTTCCCGGTTTCCCGGTTTCCCGTATCTCCGTTTCCCGGTTTCCCGGTTTCCCGGTATCCCGGTTTCCCTGTTTCCCGGTTTCCCGGTTTCCCGGTTTCACGGTTTCCCGGTTTCCCGGTTTCCCGGTTTCCCGGTTTCCCAATTTCCCAATTTCCCGGTTTCCCGGTTTCCCGGTTTCACGGTTTCCCGGTTTCCCGGTTTCCCGGTATCCAGGTTTCCCGGTTTCCCGGTTTCCCGGTATCCCGGTATCCCGGTTTCCCGGTTTCCTGGTTTCCCGGTTTCCCGGTTTCCCGGTATCCCGGTTTCCCGGTTTCCCGGTTTCCCGGTTTCCCGGTTTCCCGGTTTCCCGGTTTCCCGGTTTCCCGGTTTCCCGGTTTCCCGGTTTCCCGGTATCCCGGTTTCCCGGTTTCCCGGTTTCCCGGTTTCCCGGTTTCCCGGTTTCCCGGTTTCCGGTATCCCGGTTTCCCGGTATCCCGGTATCCCGGTATCCCGGTTTCCCGGTTTCCCGGTTTCCCGGTTTCCCAGTTTCCCGGTTTCCCGGTTTCCCGGTATCCCCGTTTCCCGGTTTCCCGGTATCCAGGTTTCCCGGTTTCCCGGTTTCCCGGTTTCCTGGTTTCCCGGTATCCCGGTTTCCCGGTTTCCCGGTTTCCCGGTTTCACGGTATCCTGGTATCCCCGTTTCCCGGTTTCCCGGTATCCAGGTTTCCCGGTTTCCCGGTTTCCCGGTTTCCCGGTATCCCGGTTTCCCGGTTTCCCGGTATCCCGGTTTCCCGGTTTCCCGGTTTCCCGGTTTCCCGGTTTCCCGGTATCCCGGTATCCCGGTATCCCGGTTTCCCGGTTTCCCGGTTTCCCGGTATCCCGGTTTCCCGGTTTCCCGGTTTCCGGGTTTCCCGGTATCCCGGTTTCCCGGTTTCCCGGTTTCCCGGTTTCCCGGTTTCCCGGTTTCCCGGTTTCCCGGTATCCCGGTTTCCCGGTTTCCCGGTTTCCCGGTTTCCCGGTATCCCCGTTTCCCGGTTTCCCGGTTTCCCGGTTTCCCGGTATCCCGGTTTCCCGGTTTCCCGGTTTCCCGGTATCCCGGTTTCCCGGTTTCCCGGTTTCCCGGTTTCACGGTATCCTGGTATCCCCGTTTCCCGGTTTCCCGGTTTCCCGGTTTCCCGGTATCCCGGTATCCCGGTATCCCGGTTTCCCGGTTTCCCGGTTTCCGGTATCCCGGTATCCCGGTATCCCGGTTTCCCGGTTTCCCGGTTCCCGGTTTCCCGGTTTCCCGGTTTCCCGGTTCCCGGTTTCCCGGTTTCCCGGTATCCCGGTTTCCCGGTTTCCGGTTTCCCGGTTTCCCGGTTTCCCGGTTTCCCGGTATCCCGGTTTCCCGGTATCCCGGTTTCCCGGTTTCCCGGTTCCCGGTTTCCCGGTTTCCCGGTTTCCCGGTATCCCGGTATCCCGGTATCCCGGTTTCCCGGTTTCCCGGTTTCCGGTTTCCCGGTTTCCCGATATCCCGGTATCCCGGTATCCCGGTTTCCCGGTTTCCCGGTTCCCGGTTTCCCGGTATCCCCGTTTCCCGGTTTCCCGGTATCCCGGTATCCCGGTTTCCCGGTTTCCCGGTTTCCCGGTTTCCGGTTTCCCGGTTTCCCGGTTTCCCGGTATCCCGGTATCCCGGTATCCCGGTATCCCGGTATCCCGGTTTCCCGGTATCCCGGTTTCC